CATATGTCAGACCTGATCTCACTCAACTTCGGAACCTGGGCTGATTCTCCTATCCAACCCCACCAAGCTCCATCGAGTCTCACCCGGTATCAGTTCGCTCTGCTCCATCAATTCGTATTCCATCGCGGATGACTGTAGGGGATGAATTTGGTACTTTCTTGGCTGGAAAGAGCGAAGGAAGAAGAAGAGAATAGGGGAGTGGACGTTTCGGTTTGACTTGGACCTGGGAATTGATCCGCGAAGGTTGGAGAGCACTGTGTTTTTGTTTTGGTTTTTTTTTTTCCTTTCTTCTGTTCTTCCCCTATTTACCCCCTCCTTCATCTTTATTGCTGTTTCCTAGGCATCAATAAAATCACTTATATGAAGAAAAAAAGGGGAAGCAGAGACAGAGAAATTGCAGCACTTCATTCCGATTCAATTCCCATTGTACATACCAAAGAACCTGTAAAAGGAGTAAAGCGGTCAACCTCCGCAACGTGACAACGAATTTGGACCAGGAAGGGAAAGACAAAAGAAGATTGAAGTCCGGGATGAATGGAGTGGAGGAGGGACAGGCAGGGCGATCAATCTCAGGGGGAGACGAGGGTGCCAGGGGGCCAATCCATCGTCATCATTACCACCCCGCCATTGCCCACCTCACCCCTCTTTTTGTTCCCTTCCTTCCTGTCAAGCTTCAAGCGACCGGACTAACCACCACCAGTTGGAAGAGAAAGTTATCATTCAGCACCCGATCATGTCTCACCTGTCTCACCTCAAAAGAGCAGAGTCCCTTTTTCCCCGTTCACAGATAGACTTGGGAGAAAGGACGACTGAAAAGTGGACGATGACGGACTCCCCTAGACATAAGCGAAATCTTGCTTCAAAGGCAATCAACCTGTCTCCGACGGACCGCCCCTAGCCCTGCATGATCCCATGCATGCATTCATGTATAGATTTGGTGCTTCCTGTGGGCGGAGCAGTGGGGGGTACCAGGGCTGGTTGAGTTTTCTTTGATATGCTGATATTGCAATTGAATTGAATTGAAATGAATTTCGGATGATGCGTGCATGTGCATTTTGAAGAACAAGAAGACGACCTGAGTTGGGCGTCACGATTGCGATTGCCAATTCAGTTGAATTCCTCCTTTTGACATTCATCCTTCATATCTTTTGTTTCTTCATCTTCCTTTCAAGTCCCGACTTCAAATCGTCTCAACTCTAGTACTTCCAATTGAAGTCACTTTCTGTTTTGCTTTCTTCTTAATTCCTTATGCTTGTAAAAGTTGAGATTGCGTACTTCGCAAATACGCACGTGTCTTGCTTCAAACCCTTTTTCTCTCTCCTCCCCCTTTTCTCCTTTGCTGCCAGAAGTACCAGGAAGATAGGGGAGGATATGCGCCGGGATGCAAAATACGACACATCCAACCCTGACGGGGACACGTGAAGAACGGATTGGAGAGAGACTGACAAACGAACAGTCTTAGACAATTCATAGATAGTTTATCCCCATTTCCCCCGTATCCCAGCTCAGTCAGGAGTTCCCCCTTTTCCTTTCCCACATTCATCAAGAAGTACCCTCTGTCTGCCTCCGTCCCGCGTACAAGCAGACTGAGCAAGCAAGCAAGCAGGAGATATACAGTAATGATAGTAGCCCCCGTTAGTGCAGCGACTAGAATGCGATTGGGGACCCTCTCGAACGTTTCTTGGAATAGCGATTGCACTGCATGCCGTGGCGTGTCATAGCACGGCTAACTTAGGCTAGGCTAGGCTTAGATTTCGAGCTCACTCTTCCCCACCCTGTATTTCATGAACCGCGTAACCAAAGGGTCCAGATGTTCTTGGGCCCGGATAAGGTGAGTAAGCTTCTGCACCGTTTTGCGTGCGTTAAAATGGTGAGATGCATGTGCAGATAAAGGTGGCGAGGCTCGAGCTTACCAGCGAAGAGAAAGAAAGGGCGGATTGAAGAGGGAGGACGACGTAATGTAATCTACCTGGTGGCATACAATTTGTTGACCAGTGGTGACCACTCACTTTGCTTTGCGACAATCAGCAATCAATCGATCAATCAATCATACGGGAAAAGACGATAACTCGTCCTGAACGAAGCTAGCTCCGTGTCAATCGACATTTCTTAATCAAATCGTGTTATTTTCGTCTCCCAGAAAAAAAGACGTTCGATAGAGGGAATCGAACCCCCGGTTATTGTGTGAGAGACGGCGATGTTAACCACTACACCATATCGGGATGGCAATTTTGTCTGCATAATCTATTCTAGTATATGGCATGACGCATCACTTTTGCCCGCCATGACGCATTCTCACTCCCCATCGCGCGCAAAATGACATTTTTACTCCCCCAACTCAGCCGCATCAAATCAGTCAAAAGAAGTTTGCAACGCCAACCATCCGCACTTCATAATGGCGCCATTTAAAGATGAGCATATCCTGGTAAATTTGTTCCCTATTTACACCCCGCCATTTGAAAGCTCATTCTCTAACCAATCCTAATTTCGCGCTGAGAAATATACAGCTCCTCGCGCCTGGATCGCAAATTACGCAGGCCCAACTGGGCCTTCCTGAATCCTTCACTCCTGCGCGGTTTTGTTTCCCAACGCGCATGTTCCCAGCGGAGAAGAAAGGTGAATGGGAACCGTATAGAGTACGTGAGAAAAGTATTACCGTCAAGAGACGGGTGCCGAAGCCGCCGCCATCGCTAGGGCCGGGGAATGAGAATGGGAATGAGAGTGAAAATGAGAATGGGCAGCAACACCAACATGGACAACCTGAACATGAGGTTGGGGATAGCAATGAGGATGCGGAATCCAAGACCAAGGTGAAAGGAGAGAAGGAGGGTGCCGGCGATAGTGATGAGAAAGGGAAAGGACAAGAGGAGACGTCTAGAGACACTGAGAAAATTGGCGATGAGGATGTTGAAATGAAAGATGTGCCAGAATCCGAAACTGAGAAAAAGGTGACTATTACCGGAGAAGATGAGAAGAAGAAGGAGGAGGAGGAGAAGGCGGCAAAGGACTCAATATCAAAATCAACAGGAGAGCAGTCACCTGCACAGACACTGCAACCAGAACTTCAGACAGAAACAACTTCGACAACAGCGGTGACAAAGAGGGATGCTGAGACACGCAATGAAGCGCCGGAACAACACCAACCTCAACCTCCAACGGCAGAACCGGAGTATAATGAAATCGAAGAACTTCAGACTGTTTTCCAAGAAGATCCCTCGTCAGAAGAAGGAGCCGTTTTTCCCATTCGCAATGGAGCTATCGTCAATTGGCCCTGCTTTTTCGCCTTATTAACACACATATACAACACTCTCAGTCCACCGTTTCACACACCGATAATCATGATTGCTCAACCGTGTTGGACCCTGCGTGATCGTGAAATCATCACTCAGTTCATCTTTGAGAAATTCAAGACTCCCGCTTTCTGCCTCATGGACTCCGCTTTGGCTGTCTGCTTTGCTTACGGCGTCACGACGGCGACTGTCATTGATGTTGGTCATGGGAAGGTTGATGTCACTGCCGTAATTGACTCGGTCGTCTCCGAGCACGGACGCGGTATCGCTCTTGAAGGATGTGGTGGAGATGCAATGACGGAGAGGTTGTTTGAGTTATTACAGGATAAGGGTTTCTCCAAAGAAATGTGTGAACAGCTGAAAAGGAGTAACATCTGTGAGATATTATCTGCTGATATACCTATTCCGGGATCAACCAATACTGTCGCATTGAGGACAGATGAGGGCAGTGAGGTCAGCAAAATCATCGGGAAAGAGCAACAAACTAGTCATCCGCAGCATCATCAACAAGTAGCAACCGCTGCAGCACCACCATTACCAGCAACCGAAGAGGATGATGATGGCGTATTGAACGTCGCCGCTATCGTGACCGGAAATACCAGTGAGATTCTTGCGCAGAAAGAGAGGGAGAAGGCTGAACGATTAGCTGCTAAGAAGGGTACTGCCGCGGAGGCAGCAGCTAAGGCTTTACGTCTCCCTAATGCGAAAAAGGAAACCAACACCTTCCACTACTCGAGCTATGTGCCCGTGAAAAATGATAATGGTGTTGGTGAGCATTACATCCTGACCACAAAAGAGATTGAAGTTGGTCAGGAAAGATTTAAGGTGTTGACTCCAAGTGAGTCGAAGTCCCCAAATGCGTTGATGTTTGGCATCCTCGAGACTATCGCGACGCAAGTCCACCATACCATCACGTCTGTGCCTGAGATGCATAGGAGAGGTGAGCTCTGGGATTCAATCATCATTGTCGGTAATGGTAGCAAGATAAAAGGTGAGTCCCGTTCCTTGCTTCCTACAATCTACTTCACACCGCGGCAGAAGTTTGTTCTAACCTCATCGCCTTTTTTTCATTTCTATCGTAGGCTTCTCTCAAGCACTTCTTTCGACTATCACACATCACTACCTCCTTACCCCATCTCCAGGAACAATCTTCACCACAGATCTCCCCAGCTCCATTCCAACCCCAACAGCAACCGGCGGAACAAACACACCTGCGAACATGAACACCCCCAATCCATACCTCGTTGCCGCAACCTCCGCCACTAACAATCCTACATCCGTCACCGTCAATCCCAACGATCCTAACCAACCACGTGGCCCTTCAGCTTCGCAGACTCCCCTGTCCGTGAAAACACTCAAACCGCCAGAATACTTCCCTGAGTTCAAGGGCGGACTCGGCGCTGCTATTGCTGCTACCAGCGCTGCAATGCCTGGTAACACCAAAACCACCGGTCAGACGGGGGCTGCCTCCGGTACAGCAGGTGGAGTGATTAACAGTGGTAGTGGTCACACCGCTAATGCTGCAGCAATCGGAGCTGCGGGCGCTGGTGCAGGGGTACCGGGACAATCACATAATGCTGGATTCGAGGAGGCTATGTTCCTAGGAGCGCAGGTGGCAGCAAAAATTGTGTTTTTGCTTGATCAGGGTATGAGTAAAGGGTTCCTGAGTCGGGTGGAATACAATGAGTTAGGACCGGCGGGGATCCATGAGTGTGGATTATAGTAAGAAACTACTTACTCTGCCTTGTTGATTTACTTTGGTTGTCCGTCCTTGATAGGATTGCTAGAATGGGTTATATGCGTTTGAGTATACCAAGATTCGAATTAAGACGACACGGCCTTTGCAGACTACTAAATCCACAATCTATCAATATCTGTTATTCTCTCCCTAACAATTATTAGCAGTAAGACCATGCAGATAGATGACAATGACGAACGAAAAAAAGGAGAAAAAAGACCCCTCCGAGACGGGGAGTCGAACCCCGGTCTCCCGCGTTCGTTCTGCAGAAAACAGTGACAAGCGGAAATCATGACCGTTAGACCATCTCGGATAATTAATTGCTTAATATAAGATTATGAAATCTATATACTCTAGTATCCTTTCTAAGTGAACCCCGGCCGGTCTAGAACAACCCGAATCTCCACCGAAGGAGCGTGGGTGAAGGGTCCCTTTCGCCGGAGCATCAAAATTCTTTGCGCTGAAATATTGCGGGCTTAATTTGATTATGGCAGCAGTCTTGTTCACAGCAAGCCATGACAATGTTTGGACGGTCGGCCTATTGTTTTCTTTGCTCCATCTGCCAGCAATCATCACTCGCTGCTGTCAGAACAGGTCCGCGACGCATCGGTCATGTGGCTGATTCCCTGGGAAGCAGTAGGAGTGCCGCGAC